GGTACAGGGAGCTGACCACGCCCCCTCCAGTTTGCCTCCTTTCCTTGCCTTGAATCTTAGTGGCTTGTGCTTTTCATCGTACGACTTCTTTTGCCGCTCTTGCGCTTTGTCAGTGTTCTGCATTGCCTGAGCCTTCACCTGGTCGCCATCATGACACGGAATTTCTCATTAAAATCAGAGGGTGCATCCCCGACTTTGTGAGAAAGTGAGTCAGTGTTGCTGGGCTTTGACCTGATTTCCATCTCGATGGGTAGCACGGATGCACGGCCAAACATCAACTCGAACGGTGTGAATTTGGTGGAGTCATTTTTACTAGTTCGATGGGTGAACAGAATGGACTTGATGTGCACATCCCAGTCATCTTGGTTGTCGTTCACGAACTTCATTAGGGCTCTCGTTAGCGTCTGATTCATTCTTTCATCAAGAGCATTTGACGGCGGGTGGTACGCTGAACTGATCCTGTAGTCCGTGTCACACAACTGAACCAGCTCCTCTTTTACCCTATTAACGAATTCTCGGCCCTGATCAGACATCACAATTTCCACCACTCCGTACCTGGTGATCAGGTCGTACTGGAAATCCGTCCACCTAGAGGACCGATATATATTTGTCTGTTAGAGCGAGTCAAGTTTAAGCCAAGCTTGAACTTGTCTCAAGCAAGTTTAAAAAAGAACTTTGCTATATTTTGCAAAAAAAAAAAAAAGAAAAAAAATAGTTTTGGCTTCGTCAGAGTTGCTGCGAATTTTTGAAATTTGTCACAGGCTATACGCAAGAAAAATCATTTAACTGAACTCCCATTAGAAGGAACTTTTCGCGCACCTATTCAAAAACGAACATGTTGAATAACTGTCCTTGATATATTGACAGTGAACGCGGTAAATAATTATAAAATAACACGTGGTAGGTAAATATCCTTAAATCTCAGTACTCCATTAATGTCGGATATTGCATACCTTCAGCCGATTTTCTTTTAAGAGGAGCTGCCTCTGGCCACTTACTGAAATAGCAAGTACAGGTGATCGATTACTTATTGCCACGGGACGTCTCGTTTCGATACCAATATGATGGCACCCAATGTCCTTTATATTAATTGGGTGTAGCTGGGCAGGCTTTTTCAATTACTTTGCAGTTCGCTGGCAAACATCGCAACGCTTGACAATTCCATCGCAGTCCTCCAACGATCAAACCCAATAGTACCGAGATGTAACCTGGAAAAGGAACAGAAACAACAGTTAAGAACGATAAATTAAATTGAAACCAAAATCTTAAAGTTTAAGAGAAGCATCACTGGATTAAGTACAAACCTTTTTTCTCGTCTTTTCACGGCCAAAATGCCCAGCAAGTTTGTCAGAGTGATAAGTTTTCAGTATCTGCTGCCGCTCGTCTCGGCTGTGAGTCCATTTTTAAGGCTGACCGTTTGTCAGAGTGATAAGTTTTCAGTATCTGCTGCCGTTCGTCTCGGCTGTGAATCCATTTTTAAGGCTAACCGTTTCTCTGGCCAATAAAAAACAGTGCACTATCTTCAAGAACGAGTTTTTGGGTTTTCTTACGTAAATTTCTTTTCTGATCTTTCGAAAAATCGATCGGATACTCGTTATGGCGAAGATAGTGAAAAACTACGTTGTAAGCTTTCGTTTCGGCTATCGCTGACGGAAGGAATCACGAGAGTAATGTTAAAGAAGAATAAAATCTTTTGCAGTAGGCGGAGCAACCGAATTTAATTGTGGAGCACACAGTAACAAGAACATAAATACTCAGTGCCCATAACGCGTTCCACGCACGTGAACTTTTCTCTAAAAACGATTAATTAGCACCTCAAGCGACTAAGCCTCTAGTAAATAGTTATCACTTCATACCGAAAATTTGTCAAGGGTGAAAGGCAGTATCGATAAATTAGTTTACTGATTGGCTTTTGGTGCTTACGGCTTTGTTTTCGTTAAAAAGAAACACCAGACTAAGCACTCTAATAAATATGATTTTTACGCCTTGAGCGTTCTGAAAACCTTTTATTCAAAGTTTCCCAAATAGTATTGACATTGCGGTACCTACTTTTGGCGAAAAGCGCTCGATTCCAAGTTTCTCACATACCTGAGCTTAGACTGTCCAGAAACAAAAAACCACCTATGTGCTCTGTCATACGAGTAAGTAAGTGATGACTTACTGTAACGGCACTGTTACAAAGACCTGGGAGGGGGGATCCATATCCACTAGCGGATAGCAGATACGAGGTGTTATCAAAATTATATTTCATTTTAAATTTTTTGTCAATACTATGGTTTTTGTTTAAAGGAAAGTTTAAAAAGTAATTTTAGATGATAGGGAAACAGTTTCGAGCCGTTTTCTTGGCGGTTCTAAGTCAATTTTGGATACAAAAATTGGCCATCTTTTCCCAGTCGAAACAATGTTATGCTGACCTAGAACAACTATTTTTTGTCCAACAGTTATTTAAAAATCAACAATGATAAGCAATGATTTAAGCTATCAGTTTTTTTGATACCATTAAATCACTTAAAGAACCTCGAGGAACCTGAATGAAAGAAATATGGCCTCGCCTCTTCAGAGTTGCAAAAAGATGGGGAATGAATGGACATTGGACTTAAGAGACGGACAGTCTCAACAGGTTTTCCTAAAAGAAAAATGTATCCCTTATTTTGCCGTAATATTTCTTGTAATTTTCAGATGTTGTTATGAAAATATGAATAGACAAACATACATTCACAAACACGTCCTTCAATATCTAAATCGACCACTCAAGTCGTTCTTAGAAAACGAAATGCGAAAATACAGGCAAACCAGAAAATAAAATCTGGAATCTTTTGTGTTTTGGAATCCGGAATCCGCGAGGGTAGAATCCGGAATCCACTGCGTGGAATCCAGAATCTAATACCGTCTTGGATAACCTTACATGGGGCGACCAGAATGTTAAAATCGTGCCGCAATTTTTCAGTCGTGCTGGATAGTTCAAGTCGTGCTGCAAAGTTGAAATAGTGCAGCAAATTAGTTTACTTTAAAGTAAGAGTCTGCTGAAGTTTAGAAACGACCTGACAGTGTTATTTAATCAGCCTCAGAATTATCTCCCGTGACTGTCATCGGGTAACATTTTACCGTAAATAGCTGGTTGGATCACACAGATCTCAGCAGTTAAGCCTAATCAGTTAAGTTCTGTCCATGGAGAGTATTACAGAGATGGACACCCTACAGTCGGGGAAGGATTCAGCTTTATTTCTAAGCATTAAGCTGCGTTATTCCAAGGTGTTTTCTTTTTGTTTTTGCCATGTTTGTAAATTGATAATACGATGCTTGTATCAGTTTAAGTCAATAAAATGTGCTATTATAAAATAAAGGAATTGAAATTCAATGTATTATTGAGTATATTTGCTATTATCAAACATATGTATCTAATGTGTAGTGCATTGAGTGAATATTGAAACCCCATCAACATAAAAGTTACAACGATTCATTATCATATATAACTAATAAATTCCCTTTTAGCCGCTTCCTCGCTTCTGAAAAGAGTTAACAATTGGTTCATACGTCAGCGTGCGTTCATCGAGATATGAAGCACGCGGGAAGTTTGGAGAGCACGAAAGATGCGTAAGAGTTGCTCGAAGCGTAGCCTCGAGCAACTCTAGCTTCTTGAGTGCTCTCCAAACTTCCCGCGTGCTTCATATCTCGATGAACGCACAGCTGACGTATAAACCAATGGTTTTATAAAATTTTCAACCCGATGGAAATTTTTTTCTCGAGGAATTTGTTTGCTGACGTCATTAGCGTGCACGATAGGAATATGAAGCTATGAAGCACGCTCACGGAATTGAATTTGACAAATTTACTTGCTATGTTATTAAAAAAATGACAAATTCCGACAAGGTTTGCAAAATCATCTCAATCCTTTAATGAGGTGATATAGAGAACCTACAGATCTGGTGTCTAAAGAGTACATCAATTTTTCCAAGTATTGACCCCCTTGGTGTTACCATAATGAAAGACTAAGTTACATAAAAAAAAAACAAAAGTATTTTCTTAACTCCAAGAGTGTATTGCATATACATAAATGAAAGTTAACATAATTAAATATAAGGGTTATTTATCGCAAAAATGTCTGATAAAGCAGCGCTGATGTCGATGTTTATTTTCTTTATGAGGCTGCTTGTTCACGAATTTTCTTCATCTTATCTCACGAATTTTCTCTATCTTCTGAAATTATATTCCAAAGTGCAAGCGAAATGCGAGCCTCGAATAACGAAACGAGAAAAAACAAAACAAGTACAAAACAAACAAATTGTTGTTAACGGGCTAGTATTTGTTGCTTCAGTTCTTAATGTTTTCTCTTAGTATTTTTGTTTGTTTTTTCCCTTTTATACTTCGCCTACAGTGTGCAACTTGTAAGAATATGTGGAAATTGAGAACTTCAAACATTTATTGACACAACGAACTTTTTTCAGACGCTGCAAGTCAAGTTAAATGAGGATTACCACTAAGTAAGATATAAATCATCTCAGTCCCCTCTTAGTTTGATGAGAATATACTCGTGGATAAAAAAAAAACTCACTGATTACTTACGTTTAAAGAAGAAGAATTGTGGAAATAGCTTTTCGCTCTGGCTGTGTCTCTCAAAGAAATGAAGGTTTACTCTGAATAAATCATGACATGTCTTGAAGTGAAGTGTTGCTGAATATTCAAAGAAGCGCTATATTTTGTTGCACCGGCGACGAGAATCAAAGAAACAACTAGGAATGCTCAACGGTACAGTATTCCAAAACGTCCAATAGGAGTTTTCCCAATCAAAAGCTTTCACTCGGAAAAAATCTCAAGTGAGATTTAAGGATGACTTGCCTCGCAAACCTTACTTATTTCGCTTCAAAAACCTATATAAATAACCGTCAATAAGTTTGAGGCACCGTTCCAATTAAAATCGGTTGAAGACTTTGTTGCGAAGATATAAACGAATTCCAGGATGGCAACAAAACGATTTATTAAAAAATACTAACAGAAAGATATTATGGCGAGACACGATCAAAACACTCAACGACGCCCGGCGAATCCTGAATCCCAACAACAGACAGCGCGAACCGCATGGTTTTTATCCGTAAAATCACTTGACAGCTGTCACTCATTGTCTCACATCTAGACCACACTCGAGAGATTAACTCTTGCACCTTTCGCCATCTCTTCCTTGGATTGAATCTCATAGTATCAACACTCTCCGGTGCAAACTGTTCTCCCATTTGTCCATACAAAAAATGGTTGGGTGTCAATGGCACTTCATCCTTTATATCTGCTGACTGATAGGTCAGCGGCCTCGAATTAAGAAAACCTTCAGCACCGGCAACGACTGTGGTCAGTTCTTCATTCATGATGTCACTGCTTCCCAGAACAGCATATATCGCCTTCTTGACGGCTTTAACCATTATTTCGTGTACTCCGCTGAAGCGGGGACCTCGAGGGGGGTTAAATTTCCACTTTATTCCCTTGTTTGTAGTCATACGCTGAATCTTATCCTTGTCCATCTGGTCTACAAGCTCCTTCAGTTCATTGACCGCTCCGACGAAGTTGCTTCCGTTATCACCGATCATTTCCTTGGGAACTCCTCTCCTACTTGTAAATCTAGTCAGCACATTAATAAAACTATTTGTATTGAGCCCCCACGCTACTTCAAGATGAACAGCACGAGTCGCTAAGAATGTGGAGACACACAACCACCTCTTTAAACGCTGACGCCCACGCCCTTGGATGGCGGTGAAAGGACTTGCGTAATCTAATGCTGTCTGGTCAACTTGTGGCAGTAGTCCCATTATCTATCTGGTGTAGCTCTTCTTGTACAAAGATCAGCTGGGTTCTCTGTTGTGGCTACGTGCTGCCACTAATGGGTTCGGTCACCATCTGAATCTGGTGATCCTAGACTAGAGCTCCTTCCTCTCCACGTACATCTGCTTTAGAATAATGCAGGTCTGCATTGTCTACACCTATTAAGAAATCCACAAACCCATTTTGAGCAGGTTCTGCAAAATCACATTCCCGAAAGTGAGCCCACCTGTCTTTGCTTTGTTTCCAGTTCTATACCTTGTAGTTCCCAGGTACTCTTTTGGGGTTAATCTTAACCTTGATATCCTTACTAAACTCTCCATTGAGGCTTTCGATGGTGACATCAAGTGGCATGAATTGAAAGGTTTCAACCTCATTGCTTAAAACGTTAACCTTGACAGTCTGGTATCTCTCCATAAGACCAAGAATTCCCGCAATCTCTTCAATAAGAAAGGATTCGTTGGAGCCATCATCCAACATAGGATTCACCTTGACTTTTGCGATCATTTCCTTTTAACCACACCGGCACTGTACGAAGGGAAAAAACCTCGGTTGCTGTCTCCTTCTGGGAGGTTGAGGTGTGTGTATGAGCTGATGCCCCCCTCCCGTGGAGTCTTTACTCTTTCACCTTTAGCATCAGATTGTACAAAGCCATGTAATAAATTACGATGGCTCCTCTTGCAACCACAGATTTGACAAGGGCGTGCCTTGGTACAAAACCTCCCCTCATGATCACTTGCTAGGCAACGGAAGCAAAGCTTCTTTTCCCTTGCAATGTCCCAACGTGCCCTAACTCCAAGGCTCTGAAAGCGTCTGCAGCTCCATATCCCATGGTTCCCTCCACGGTGCAGAAATGGTGGTTTGGCTGTATGCACTGATGTGTGTTCACTAATGCTACTGTTGTCATTGAACAAAGTTCTGTATCGAACGCTGTTGTCAGCAGTTTTGCCTCCTTATCTAGCACCTCCTCTGGGCTCAGCCTCAATTCCATGGGCCATTTCCACAGCGTCGACTCGGATCCTAACTTCCTCCTTCGACCATTCCCTCAAGCTTACCACTAACCTATCCCTTTTATGTTCTCTTGACTAACGACTGTAATTTTCAACTTGTCTGTCTGCCTGTCTACTTCTTCACAAGCAAACTATGGAATGTTCCTTCGCGCAACTCTCTATCACACCCTTCTGCTTGTAACTTAACAACTGCAATACGAACAAGATCAGCAAATCGCTCAAAGGACTTAACATCCGCACTCTTCAATGGAAGCATCTGTTCAACCTGGTCCATGTATACTAGTAACTTCCTTCGTTCACCACCACACTTGGACTGGAGAATTTCCTTAGCTTCATTATACTCCGGCTCAGTTACACCTAGACCCTGATTGCTTCAAATGCAGCTCCTGAAAGACTCTGTTTCAACCTCGCCATTTTCATGTTTGGTGGCTCCTCACTCTGATCAACCACTCTCAAAACCATCTCCCAAAAATCTTCGAATTTACTTTCCTCACCACCAAACACTAAAAATTTTAAAGGCTAAGTCGCTGATTACAACTACCAGAGTGATGCGAGTGACTGTCACCAGACGAATGCATTGAATAAGGAGGCGATTTTGGTGGGGGCGTTTGCTGCAAATCCTTTTTGTTTGTATCCGCATGCTTTTTCTCCGAGATATCCTTCACCACACGCTCAGCCATATCAATAGCATTGTTTACCTCTTTCTCCAAAACCTCGGCTTCTTCCTCGACCGACTTTTTGTTTTCGTTTTACCCCAAGTGTCGGTATGCTTTCTGCAGTTCATCGAGGGTTTTTTCCAAAACCGCCCACAAAGTGCTGATCTCACCCTGAATCAACTCGAAATCTTCGCGGCTGGCGCTCAGTCTCTAAATTGTGGCGCGTTTTAGTCACTGCAGTTTTTCTGTTTCTCTTTTCCTTTTTGAGTTTGATAATTCTCTCCTCTTCCATGGCTGTGTCAGCCTCTCCTCCAGTCGGCATTTTGCTTGTCACTTGCTCTGCAAGGTTGAACGACTCCAACGACGACCTCTGAATCAAGATAACGATAGACAACGATAAAACCACAAAACGAAAATACATAAAGCCAAATCCTCCGAACGTTTTACACCGTGTTTCAGTCAGCTCCTCGACGATTTCAAAGTCATGAAGCTCAATATTCCAGTGTGTAAAAGTTCAGTACCAGAATCCAAGATGGCGCGCCACAAGCAAGACGCTAGGGGACGCGACGAATGCAATAAACACTACGAAGGGACAATGTCAATGACAAATTCAAAACAAAATACGAACAATAAATAAACCTTGACCACAAATGTCACCGTTTCAAACAGTTTTACAAGCCCTTACCGACGTTCCAAAAAGCACAATCCGAAAATGACCTTTGTGAAGTTCCCACGAAAGTTATCCAACACCATGCGAAAGAATTCGGCAAATCTAAACCCGATGCGAAGCGACCAACAAGAACGACAAAATCCAAAACCACGACGCAAACAATAATCCTTGAGTACAACCTTTATCAGCTCGGACGGTTCAAGCCCTTTGCAAAAGTCCAAAGGCGAAATCCAATAAGACCTTGTGAAGAATAAATCCAAACCAAGACGATGCGAAGCGATGCGAATAAACAAACCTTGAGCTCACCTCGAGCAAATTAGATAATTTGCTCAAAAGCGATGTCTGTTGATATAAACAAACTCCAAGATGACAACACAACAGTTTATTACAAAATAATAACAGAAAGATATTATGGCGAGACACGATCAAAACAGTCAACGAAACCCGGCAAATCCTAAATCCCAACAGCGACATAGCGCGAACCGCATGGTTTTTATCCGTGAAGTCACTTGACAGCTGTCACTCATTGTCTCACAAAAAAGGCATAACGCAAGGTAATGTCACGTAAAGTCACGCTCTTCTCAACAGACTTAGCGATGAAAAGTTCAGACGAATTTCGATCACATTTTAAGCAAACTAGATCGATGTCAATTTTAATGGCTAAGCAGAGTCTGATTTAGTGGATAAAAATGGACTGATATGATGAATGATTGCTTTCATCAACATCCTTTCTAAAACAAAACTTATGGTTCATACACGAAGGGATTGTTTCATTAGGGTTTTTAAACACGAGGAAACTGATGAGAGAACGAGGCAGTGGGCCGAGTGCTTTTATTGTATTCGAGTGCTTAGAAACCCTGATGAAACATGAAGCTGGAGTATATGAAATGGCTTCTCCAAAGGGTCTAATTCATTAGCAATAAACACAAAAGCAAAATAAAGATCGTGCTTTTATTTAATTTTTGCTTTCTTTTCTTTCATTGAACTGTTAAAATAAGAACAGATTTGCTAGTCAGTGTGATGAAAGATGATTTTGTGTTTTGTATAAGTGCGACTTTTGAATGAGAGGCAGTCTAACTTTCCATTTACATCCTCTGTTGTAATTTTAAAAAGTGGAAGAAGCAGCTACGCCGGGATAAGACTTGCCAGTTTCGATCACCAAAAGAAGCCACAAAGAAGTTTCTCTGCTCGAACTTTCGAAGTCCAAAAGTGCGGTACAAAGAGAAGTGGACCATTGATGTTTTCCGAAATTGGCAAGCTGCACGCGAAAAAAATCATATCCTTTACTCCACTCGGAACGGTGAGTTCAAAGTGTGCAAAGTCTTGATGAAAGGTGAGACGAATTGCATAGCCTCTCCCAAACCTTCCGCCTTACAAAGTTCGTCCGAACAATCCACGACCATTTGTCCAAGTATTGCATTCCTTTGCTACTTGATTTCCAAACACACGTGTTTGGATTATAAGAGCCTAAACACAATCCCTATTGCAATTTTTGAACAGCATTTACTTATTCATTTGCCGTTCACCGTGGTTGTATAAATCGCCATTTTCAACGTCGCTGTGAATTATGTTACATTGTCAATATATAATAGTTGCTGACAAAGAATAAAAAAAATAGAAATAAGTTATTATGAATAAGAGTGATAAACCATCGCACTAATCTATTGATTTTATGGGGACCACTCATGCGCAAAAAAACAGGCTGAATATATATCTATCGCTGAATATCTATTTGCAAGATGTAGAACACGAATGAATACACTGGTATTGAAGATTAACTTTCATAACGTCCATAGAGTCGCCTCGTCTCTTTCAAATCCTGAAGGCATATTACACATAGGAAAGATGCGCATAAAGTTAAGGATGGGGAATGGCTCACTTGAAATTCACTTAACTGATATAAAAAGGTATAAGGTAAAAAAAAAAAAATAGTTAGCGGCATGATGTTGTTTCTTGGGCTTCTACAAACCGGGGATTTGGAAAGGGAAAGGCTCAAGCAAATAAAATTTGGGAGACAACTGAAATAAATCTATTTTTTGCCCTTGATGTCTCTCTCAAGTAATGAGGAGATGTCATGAACTAATCATATTTAAGACACGATTCGATGTAAGGTTGTGAGATCTGACATGTCCATCATCAGATTTATTTACCTCTGGAGGGAGACAAAACATTCCTGGCAAAACTAATATATACAACGGGAAAATAAAGTACAAGACGCTCGAAATACCTAGTTCTAGCAATCGTAAGAGAAGGTAACGCTTTTAACGGCTCAGTTTAATTATTTGCAGAATTCAATTTAAACCAGTCCATTCTGGCATGAGTAATACGGCGAGATTTCTCTCTCAGTCACCGGGATTCAATTTACAGCTTCTTGCCTAGGATTCGGTATACCAAGCTGTAGTGCTGCTCTTTTGAAACCGTTCGTGCTTTAGGGGTAATTCGTAATTATTTGAACAAGTGATTTATTGATGATAAAAAACTTGAACTTTTAGTCAAATACAATAGCATTAACAAGAGCATAGCTATGCTTAACAAGGCGCATTGAAAAATGTGGTCTCAAAGATGTAATCCGAGACACGAACAGAAAGCTGTTGGATGGATTAGTCTGCAACTGAGGCTGTCACACACTCCCGCAGGATACAAAGTTTTAGTAT